GCAAATGTAGGGTATCGACCTTCTCCGAGCACTACTTCTTAATATATTTAAGTATATAGCTAGGTCTCGTACCTTTGCCTAGTAGATTGACCGGCTTAATACGCTTTACCGGTGGCCCGGGCAGCTCGGCTATTAGGTTAGTGTTGTAGATATTGCAATAGTCCTTTAGATCTAGCTAGCCTAGTAGGTATAGAAACTAAGTTAAATGCTCTCCGTAGTGCTCGTTTATTACTACGCGAAAGCAGCGACTAGGGATCTTAAGGTAATCGTTTAGGGCACCTAAGAAGATCTTTAGAATCTTCTTTTAGCTCTCTAACTTAGACGTATTCTAAGTATTACTCTCCTTAGATTTGCCTTTGCGACGGGGCGTATTATCTCTAGCATCTATCTTAGTATCGCTATATATATTATCCTAATTACTCGCGCCGCCGATATCCTCGCTAGGAAGCTCTTATCGCAGTCTACTAGGTCCGGCAGCGCGTATACGACTACGACTACGACGACGACTACTGCCTCTACCTCTGCCTCTACTACGACTACGACTACGACTACTACTACGATCGCTAGCCTACGACTATATCTATATTAGTAGAAGAATAGAAAGCATACTAGCGCCTTCTAGCATTCGCTTAATATAATCTCCGGCATAGTATAGCACAAAGAAGAACGCCCGAGGCCGATAGAAGTATAGTATATCGAAGAATCCCTCCGAGTATAAGAGAGCTAGTCGTCGAGCAATATAGCTAAGTCGCTATTAAAGGTTACTAGTATTACGAGTAATGTTGAACTTCTATTAGTATATATCCGCGATGTCTAGCATATCTAGACTAATACTAGCGGCAGTAGTTGCTACTATATAGCGAATGTTAGAGTCTAGCTTATAATACTTATTATACCGATTATCCTAGTCTAGCTTAGGTACCTTTGCAGTATAGAAGGAGATAGTATAGCAGACATTAATACTAGGACCTACGCCGTACTAATATCTCTTAGTATAGTCCGGATTGTCCTTAGTTAAATATAGCAACTAGCTACGAGTAATATCGACGAAGTTAGCGATATACTTATAGCCGTCGATAAACACTAAGGACTTGTATATATTCTATAGTGTTGCTAATCCCTTTGTAACCTCCTTCTCTTCTCTATTAGGAATTAGCGGATAGGATACGGCATTGTCGATTACTATATATAGCATATCGTAATCGGTTAGATACTCCCTCGGAATAAACTTAATAATATATATAATTTCCGGGCGATCGATACTACTACGGATAATCTTAGTCTCGTACGGATTAAGTCCCTCTTTACGTATACTAGTATACTTTATCGTATACTTAGTATACTCTTTATCTATAGTAGCCGAGGTTAATAGAGTACTAGTATCGATACGTAAGCGATCGCGTAATTAACCGACCTACGAGTATTTATCGCGGAAGCTAGAAGGTTTACCCTAGTTATAGATTAGATATGCCTTATCGATAACAACTAGGCCGACCTTCTCTCGTATACGCCCGTCGTTTAGTAGCGAGAGAAATTGCGGTAATGCTACCTATTCTAGGCTAAGTAGAATATACTAGAGCTTGCTATTAAGGATGTTCTTAAACATACCTAGGTCGATCTTCTTAGTTTTAGTAGAGATATATACTAAGTAGACTAGACTACTAGTATTACTAGCTATACGCTCGATTGCTACTACTTGTTCGGCGCCTAAGCGGTTTAATAGCACTACTTAGATAGTAATTATACTAGTTAGTATTATAAAGCCCTAGAATAGCAGACTCTTTCCCTCGCCTATACGAGTAATAAACAGGACATTATTCTAGCTATAGATAAGTACGTATATTACTATCTTCTACGCTAGTATAGGAACGAATGCTAAACTAGGGTACTTAAAGTCGAGGAGTTTCGTTAAGCCCTTCTCGATAATTTCCGCCTAGTACTAAATAGTCTCCTTAAATTAGCCTACTTGCTATACTAACTCTTAAATACGCGCGAGGGATGTCTCTAGATTTGTAATCTTCTCGATACGCCGCTTAAAGTGCCGGGCCTATTCCGACTTTAGTTAAGGTAGCTTTATCGGAGGGATACCGAAGTCTAGATATATACGTATAATAGCGGAGCGACCTAGTAGCAGTGCTTAATATAGTTCTTAACGCTCGAGTTGCTGCTTCTTCTAGCGCGCGGCCTTCTCGGCTAGGCGCTGCTTATAGCGGGCTTTATTACTAGCTATACTAGATACTAGATACTAGATACTAGATACTAGATACTAGATACTAGATACTAGATACTAGATACTAGATACTAGATACTAGATGCTAGATAGACCTCGAGTCGAACTTGTTAATTAGCGGCCTCGAATAGTTTAGATAGCTTTCTCCGGCGGCGGTAAGGTCTAAATTAGACTATCGATTTAGCGTACTTTAATAGGCGGCGGAGCTTATAGAATACTTAAAGTTTACAACTGCGTATTAGGTTTGTTAAGATTAGGATATAGATTAAAGATATTAGAGGCTAAAGGGTTAGTTTGCCCTACTAAGTCGAGGCGAGTATACGACTAAATTATATAGTAAATAGATACGCGGAGGTTGTAGAGGGTACTAGAAAGGTAGACCCCCTATACTTTGTTAACGTAGAAGGGCGTCGTTTGTTTACTTATAAAGTATATAGGGATAGGTAAACGAGTTAGTCGAGAGTAGCAATTTACGTTTATCGATAATAACTTTAGCATTTCTAAAGCGACTAGCTTATTAAAATAGCGGATATTCTTAATCGCTAAATTATCTAGGTCCTATCTCTATAAAGTGCTATACTACGACTAATAGTTGTTAAGCTATATAGCCTATTCGATATAAAATATAGTAGTAGTAACGCAACCTACACCCGCTAGCAACGGTTTGGCTTTAGGCGCTTCGCTAGAATAAGATCTCGAATAGCGCTAAACCTAATGTAGTATAGTGTAGAAATGGAAGTCACGAGCAGCACACACACGAATTTAACTACGAAGCGCCTGAATGGAGGTAGTGTCTTTGCTGCAGCTATCCCGAACTACTTCGAACTGACTAGCTTGGTCGCTGCACTTTGCATTATGCAGTTCACATATGTGGTCCCACCCCCGCTTTTGCTGCATGTTAGCTACATAATTAAGACGAAATCGAGAGTAGAAGGAGAGGGCTTCGACGCAACGACAAAGAAACCTGTTAGGCATGATACGGGTCTGAGACGCTAGATCCGTGGCTTCTGTGCTAGGAGATGGTATTTTTGCATATTTCTTTCCTTTGAATTTCTAAGGCTGATTTCGTATCTAGGTACTTCAACGTTTGGAACGTCGTTTATAAACTTAATGCTGTTGCGACTGCTAGCCTTAGTGCATACTCTGCCATCATAGGCGCTTGTTGCGACTTTTCAGCAGCCTACTACTGATGCTTTTACTTGTCGTTCTCCGCTAGATGGTTGAGTTGTTGATTCGTTCGGAGCAAATGCATATTCTTGTTCCACCACTGAAGTATCAGGTCAAGATGCTATCTACAAGCCTGACGTCGGCAATGATTCATTCTTGACTATCAGGGAGATGCCTTTGATGTTGCAATAAGGCTGATCTCTTCAGCTGGAGCGGGCTGCTAATGGACCACAGGACGAGTCTCATCAACGTCCGCAGAAACGCTGCTAGGGTCCATGCCGGGATAAGACAGAAGTGGTGACCCCGACTGCCAGCGACTGATTCGGAATCCTTGCAAGCGGAGGACAGCGTCGCCAGAGGTAAAGGTAGTTCAACTTGCAAAACCCACCAGATATGGCATGTCCCAATTCTTGATTCGAATGAAGCGTATCATAAGATCGACTCCCACCTGCGCCATTGCCTGGTCGTCACCAGCCCGTCCCACTTCGATTCTCCTAATTAATGCGCGATGTTCCGTCGGGATAGAATCCAGCCATTGCAAAAGACTTAGATTGTTGGACTCTTCTCCTTCGAGTGTAGGGATCGAGGCTTTGAAGGAGCGGCGGTAATAGCTTTCGGCGTAGCGGCGGCGGGTGCTGCGGTCGATGTAAAGTTAGACGGGGAACTTGTAGTTAGCGTTAATTGAGACTGGTTCGTCTTCGTTTGTTGCGATAAAGGCTTCATAGACCTTTTCCAAGAGCTGTAGTACGAGGTTGTGGACTCGTTAGGCTAGAGTTAGGGTCGCTATGCTGATCGTACTTGAGTCGTATAGCGATAAGTAGCTCTGAATTGGGTTAGCGGAAGTTGTATTAAGACTCGCGAAGTTGTTGATGGACGAATTTGTGCTTCCGCCGCCAAGTGTAGATTGTTTTGCGCGCTCGAGGCGACTTGCATATGATAGCGCGGAACGCACGGACGTTTGAGTCACTTCCGCGGTCCCATTGATCTAACACCGCTCACTATGCCCATCATCTTGGCACACCCGTACAGCACTAGATGAATTTTAGCACCTCGTGATTGATTTTGCGCATGCTTTCGTTGTGTTCATACCGAAGATGTAAGACGGTCAGCGAAAGATGCAGGAATGATCCTCTAGTGTAGTGCCCAGGGCTAGTATCGTTTCGTTCTCGTCCGTCATTGTTTATCTCCGCCTACGTAGGACGAATCCTCCAGATGCGATCACCGTGGTAGCTCTTTGCGAATGCCTGTTGCGAGGCGCTGGCGGATCGTAATTCAAATCGATTGTTGTTTCGGGATCGTCGTCTGCCGAGGAGGTGTGATAATAGAGCTCCAATGGCAGGCGTTTCGGGCGCGCTTCGAGTTGGGACATGTCGATGATGGTCTGGACTGTCAAAGTTGGAAGAAAGTAGAGAAAGAGTTAGTATAGCAAGTTCTAAGCTCGCCTCAACTGTAATCCGTTACCGCGAGGCGACAAATCGCCATCGTGGAACTTCGTCGGGCATGCGAACCCCGTTCCAGAGCTTGCACCAAAGCAGTTCCTCTGCTAATATGTCTGCCACGAGTTCAGGGTATGCGCAGAGGAAGCTGATCTCACGAGAGTAAGCATTGTTACAGAACTGGTTTCGGAGACGCTAGAAAAATCATGTATCTTAACTGTACAGAGCCAGGAGATTTTCCTGTCCCGGCTTCTCTTATTCCCGTCTTGCAGCTCCACTTCTGTATCACAAGCTCCCCATCTATCCCACCGTTCTTTCTCTAACCAATGACAAGAGCATTGTCTTCTGGGAAATCGTATGCTGGCACCTCCAAGTTCAATGGTGCGGGACCCTTTCTTATACGTCCGGAGATATCGTAGTGAGAACCGTGGCATGGGCAGAACCAACCACCATAGTCACCTGCTTCACCGATAGGCACACATCCCAAATGTGTGCAGACACCCAACATGATCAGCCATTCGGGCTTCTTGACGCGGTCGCTATCGGGTTGTGGATCGCGGAGGGTCTTCCAGTCAAAGTCCTCGGCTTGCTTGATCTCGTCGGCGGTTCGGTGGCGGATGAAGACGGGCTTACCGCGCCACTTGATGATAACGTTCTTTCCTTCAGGGATGGTAGCGAGGTCGACCTCAACCTTGGCTTGCGCGAGGACGTCTGCGGATGCGGACATGTTTACGAGGAAGTCTATAGTTGAGACTGTATCAGCCATTGTCCTTCGCGATCCACATCTGCCGCCTCGGAACACATTTCTAGCTTACCTTGCACGGTGTTCTTCGCGCCGAGAGCACTGATGCCACCGAAAGCACCAACCATGAAATACTGAAACATCTTGTTGCCCTGCTCGCCGGAGCTGGATCGGTAGTTCTTGAAGGACGGGATGACGGTTGTATCTTGCTGACTACTTGTACCGCGGTGGAAGGGTGATTTGTATACGGCGTGGGAGGTTGAGGCATCGGCCATACTGCGCTGCTGCTGGGTTTGCATGACGGCTGTCGAGGAGCGCAGTGCCGGGAGCTGCTGGCGAGCAGCATGGCGCACCAGCGAGGTGGCCGCTCTCGATGAGACAGACATTATGGCGGGTGCGCGGCGGGGTAGGAGCGGAGGTGGTCAGTCAATGGGTTGTGTCCGGAGAGGAGGAGATGTTGCTGTCGAGGCGTTGTGAACTTCCTTCCTGGCCCGAGAAAGTTGTGGCCAATGGGAAGAGGGCCAGCGTAATCGAGGAAGTTTGTCTCAGGCTTCAGACCTCATATCATCACCAATGGAGCTAGATGCGGGCGTCTGCGTCTGGGGTCTCAGCTCTCCAATACATCAACTTCGCATGCACACCTATTTCGCATAACAACATCGCATTTTCAAACATGTCGTCGCGAGATCTGCGCCCGACCAAAAAGCGCAAAAGTGAAGACATCAACGGTCCCAACATCGCCTCAGACTTCTCAGCAGACCAACCATCCAAAAGATCCAAGACCAACAACACAGCACCAAAGCCACAACGTCGTCCAAAAGCAACCCAAACCAAATCAATCGCAATCAAGACGCCTCAAAAGTCCCAAGAGAAAAACATGTCATCAATCGACCAACCCATCACCCACGACCCATCCCACCCATCCCCCCTCACCCTCACCCTCACCCTCACAGAATCCACCGGCGACATCTTCTCCGCCCCACCCAACACCCTCCTCATCCACGCCTGCAACACCGAAGGCTCCTGGGGCGCCGGAATCGCCGCAGCTTTCAAATCCCACTACCCATCCGCCTACACCATCTACCACGACCACTGCCACATGCACGGCGGCGAATTATGGCAGAAAGCTCTACTCATACCTCCTCAGCCCGACGATGAGAACGAGCATTTTATCGGATGTCTGTTTACTTCGAGATCGAAAGGTCGGAGGAAGGATTCCCCGAGTCGGATTTTGGGGGCTACGGAGCCGGCGATGAGGGATTTGTTGAGGTTGGTTAGGGAGAATGGGGAGGTGGGGGAGGTGAGGATGTGTAGGGTTAATTCGGGGTTGTTTGGGGTTAAGTGGGAGAAGACGAAGGGGGTTTTGGAGGGGATTGAGGTTGAGGGGGAGGGGGTTAGGGAGGTTAAGGTTGTTTCGAGGGAGGAGTAGATCGACGGAAGGGCGTTAATGGCGATTACAGGAGCAGGGAGTCGATTGTGTCGTTGTTTCGGATGGCAGAAGCTGTACACAGTCTGCGCAGCGAAGGGAGGTCGAGGGGGGGAAATGACGGCAATATAAATTCATGATTGGAATGATCGAAAGTACGAAACGTGAGCAAGAAGCCACCACAACCATGCAATGCGAATAATTACATCTCACTACTAGCGGGAACCTCTGTAATCACCTAGACCCTCTCTCTACTTAACAGTAACTAAACACACATCCTCACCATCACAAAACCTTAACTAATGATTTCGCGTCACCGTGTCATATGTATTTCGATTCACCCGCCGAATTATATGCCAAGCCTCGATATATAAAACTCCGCTACTTAATATTAACTGAACAAACATCCTCACTATCACAAGACCTTAACTGATGCTTTCTATATGCATCTCGATTCACCGGTCGAATCACATGCTGAACCCTCGATGTATAAAACTCGGAGACTTGAAGTTCGAGATTCTTTTCTTCTTCTTCAACGCGAGATCTACATCCCTCCTCCATATCCTTCCATCTATACTTAAATCCAATGTGCGATTTGGTATAGGAGGAGGGCTAGGTAACAACACGGCACTAGATGAGGAGGAGAAGAAATCGAAGATAAACGATTCGACGACTGTGGCTGTGAGTGGGATTGGAAGAAAATTGGAAGAAAGCTTTGAAATCGACGAATACAGAACGCTTTTCATGACTATGGCAAATCAAAGGTGCCGCGCATGTTCAGCAGCACTCTCATTACGTTGCGACGAAAGTCTGCAACCACTGGTTTCGAAGCTTCTACTCGTTTGATTACCACCACTGTACGTCTCTTCATCACCCAAGCAATTCAACATCCAACCCAATAGACCTCATAAATAAGTTCACGTCACTCAATCTCTTCTGACTCATTGCTTCCGGCAATGTCTTGCTGATCGCCACGGTTTCCATTACGCGGTCCTTCACTCCGAGCACAAGTCGCTGCTGTTGATCAGGCGAAGCGGCGGCACCCATAACGGCCAAGTAATGCCATACATGCACATCATCACTCGCAGCGATGTTGGTGTCCGTGGGGAATATGTAGGGCAGGACAGGTTCCAGGGTGTCGAAGAGTCGCGCATACATGTCTTCCCATTGCGAGAAGTCCTCGCTGCCTTGAGCTTGTTTGAGAAGCGCAGCACGAGCGATGAGGATAGTCAGGATGAGATTGCCAATCTTGGTGCGAACGACATGCTGTACCTGTGTTCGATCGAGGACGAGGCCGAGCAATCCGATGATGATATTGAGCGGAGCCTCGCTTACATAGCTCGAAAGCGGCGTGATGACACAGTTATTGAAGAGTTCGACTTCTTCTTTAACTCGTGCTGGAAGAGGGCTGTTATCGGCTGGAGGATAGGCGTCGCGGATCACATCAAGAACATCGAGATGAATGACAATCAGAGTCAACATGGTGAGCCGTTGCTGGTCATCGAGGTGGCGGAAGATGCGTGGAATAATCCTCTTGCTCTTGCCGTAGGAGATGATTTGGATGAAGGGGTGGAGGGTAGCAGGGCTAGATATGGTTAGAAGGCGGCATCGAAATGATAGGAGCGCACTTACTTGTTATGATCAACCATAATCTTGAGAGAATCCCACAACTGCTGGTTGAGTTCCTGCATCTCGCTTCGCCATCCTATGTGTGCTTCAAACACGTCGGGGGAGCCATCTTCCTGTGGAGGCGGAGGCTGCTTTCTGTCGTGATCTTCCACCCGCATCAATGCTGCGTGCATGGTCTCAATGTTGCGGAGAGTAGTTTTTCGATCAGCGGGCTTGGAAGGATGATGCTTTCTAACGTCGGCAGAGTCGGGTCGCTTGATATTAAGAAGTGGGCGAGGAGTTTTCGAATTGCTGAATGCGATCTTGCCGAGCGAGCCTTCCATGACCAACGACTTGTTCTTTGGTCTCGCTTTGGCCGCCTCCACAGCTCTGGCCACCTGCTGCTCCATTCTCTGCACATGGTTGTCACCGCCACGTGGATGATGTCTCGATCTGCCATACCCGTATCGACTGCCGGTTTGGAAAAGATAAGTCTGCGCAAACTGGTTGATTGGCTGACCAGGTCCACTACGAGGTGGGCCACGGATTTGCGCATAGACCTGGTAGTAAAAGTCTTCCGCAAGTTGCTCCTCGCTGCCAGGGTCGTTGTCGACACCTCCAGTGGCGGTGAGTAGCTGCTGAAGCTGAATTCGGGTTATGAAGTTCTTGTCTTGCGGGGTCATAAGCCCATTATTCTTGCTCAGGAGGAAGATCTTGTGGTTTCTCTTGGCTCGCTTGGCTTCCTCTTCCATGTATGCAGCACGCTCCTCTGGCGCCATCGACATCATCTGCTGCGCCTGTGTTATTGGCGGGCCTTGGTAAGACGGACCTCGGTGGTGAGCTGGCTGCATAGGGCCACGTGGGACCTGGCCGTGAGGAAAGCCTGGAGGAGGTGGTCCTTGCTGGAACTGCATTGGTTGTGGCGGCTGGCCATGAAAGTCCTGCGAAGCGGGTCGAGCATTGCCGGGAGTGTGCTGTCGCTGCAGGATGTGTGGTGCACGATTCTGGTAGTCCGGGCTTGGCTGTGCTGGAAGCTCTTGTGGAAGCTGCGGCGGTCGCTGAAGGATTTGTGGTGTCCTTTGTTGCGCAAATTGAGGCTGGGCTGGAGGCGTCGGTGCACCACCAAGACCCAGCATATTCTTCAAGCCTAGTGTCTGGCTCTGAATGTCTGGCTGAGCCGGAGGTGTAGGACGCGCATGTGCTCGCATAGCCGCCTCCACCTCTTCCAGACTCATCATTTTCGCGCCACCCATGCCTGGTGGTGGCTGCGGCTGTCCTGCCGGCTCTGACTTTTTCGCAACAGACGAGCCCCAAATGGATGCATCGGCCTCAAGCTTTGGAATGTATTGTGGCTCCTTGTACGCTTCATAGCCGGTCCGCGTTGGTCGCTGCTGAGGTTGCGCGCGAGGTTGAGGGAATGGTTGGCGGGCATGGTGAAGTGTCTGCTCTTCCAGAAGAGTACCTCTCACATTCGCAGTCTGGCCGGCGAAGTCAAAGTCTCTGCCAAGCTGCTCTCTTGTGACAGGCCCACCTCCAAAAGTGTCGTCGTTGTCCTCATCACCAGTCTCGTTCAGCTGGTTGCCCAGCCCATCATAGGTCTGCTCAAAATCCAAATACTCGTCATCGCCATCGCCTTCACCAGCGCCGCTCAGTCCGCCAAACGGGTCGTGAGACTCGAACATGCCCCGCGAGCCTTGTGCCGGCTTGTCGCGCGGCAGAGTGGTATCGAAGCCAAAGAACGACATGGTGATTGATGTAGTAGTGATTGATGTAATGGTAGCGTGGTGGTAGATGGGTGATATTTCCCATCCGTCCGCTTGAAGTCAATGTCAAATATTGATGGGAGAATCGATTGGCGCAGATGCGCGCAGGTCAATAGGAGGCCAACTCGTGGCTGCGTACTAAAGCGACGGTGCAACGATGGGTTGTGTTGTGTTGAGTGCAGAGGCAGAGGTGCACTAAAGTTAGTGTTGATGCTGTGATGCCGTGATGGGTGATGCCGTGATGCCGCGCGTGCGCTGGACCCCCTTAACCGCCTCCGTGGTTAAGTCCGTCGAACACCCACCCTGGCAATCCCCTTGTCAGGTTCCACTTTCCATGCTAAATCCGGTGTGGCCCCATACAAAACGTCATTATCTTCTTCATCAGCTTCTACACCATCGACAACAGTGGCTTGAAAGCGGTTTAAGCCGTCCACTGTAGCTGCTGACTTAGCAGGTTAAACTTCACGGTTTGAACCTTCAAGAGTCAGAATTCAGTCTCCGAGAGCGGCGGCGACTGGAAGAGGCAAAGCGCTGTTACAAGCGAGTCCAATTGAGCCTTGTCTATTCACCTGCAGAGCGGCTTCTGTGTGCTAACTATGTGGACACTGTAGGGGTTGATCCCTGTTTACCCGACGAACGCCGACCAGCAACGAGTTAACCAAGGGGACGTGGACATTCTGGAGAACCCATCCCTGGCCTGGCTGAGCAGTGAGGACGCGGTCTGCATACTCTTCCACTCTCGTTTTGGACGCTGACCTCTACCACTTTGTTTCACCTCCGTCACTCTTTACACTTCGACCCTTCTTCCCCTGCTTGCTTCAATTGCGACTGCGACAGACACAACGACATCCTCCGCCGCCGCCGGCGGTATACAACAAAGACTCGCCCGCCCCCTTGCTGGGCACATACCACACCTACCAATAACCACAATCGCAGGCAGCCTGACAGCCGCGACAGCACCATGGCAGGCTCTACGCGCTATATGCGATTCATCATCGGCGCCTTCGTAGCCATCGTCTTTATCTACTTCATTACCGCCTCGAACTCGCGAGTACCTGGCTCTGACCATATTCAGTCAGCGACAGAGCTGCTTAAGGCGCAAGGTATATGGAAAGGGAATCAGGATGGCGGATCCTCATCGTCCAGCTCGGGCAGCACTTTTGTCATTTCGGGCGACGACAAGGACAGCAAGCACGTCGCCGCGCCACAAGCTGCGTCCACTCAAAACACTTCGCCGAACCCAGCTGTGGGCTCTCAACAGCAGCTCCCTCCAACGTCCGCCCCAGGTCCGCGCATGAACGCCACTTTCGTGACACTTGCCCGCAACAGCGATGTCTGGGAAATCTCAAGATCCATCCGCCAAGTCGAGGATCGCTTCAATCGCAACTACAACTACGACTGGGTGTTCTTGAACGACGCCGAGTTTGATGACACTTTCAAAAAGGTCACCACCGCTCTCACTTCTGGCAAGGCGAGATACGGCAAGATCGACAAGGAACACTGGGGCTTCCCAGAATGGATCGACCAAGAGAAGGCTAAGAAGGTCAGAGAGGACATGCACGAGCGCAAGATCATCTACGGAGACAGCATCAGCTACAGACACATGTGTCGATACGAGTCGGGCTTCTTCTTCCGACACCCTCTCATGCTTGAGTACGAGTGGTACTGGCGAGTCGAGCCTAGCATTGAGCTCTTCTGTGACGTTGCATACGATCCGTTCAAGATGATGGCCGAGAAAAAGAAGAAGTACAGCTTCGTCATTTCGCTTTACGAATACGTCGAGACCATTCCAACTCTGTGGGACAGCGTCAAGAAGTTCATCAAGCAGCACCCAGAGCACATCGCTGAGGGTAATGCCATGGAATGGCTGTCAGATGACGGCGGTGAGAGCTACAACCACTGCCATTTCTGGTCCAACTTCGAAATCGGCAATCTCGAGTGGTTACGAAGCAAGGCATACTTGGAGTATTTCGACTTCCTCGACAAGGAGGGTGGGTTCTTCTACGAGCGCTGGGGCGATGCGCCAGTCCACTCGATTGCGGCATCACTCATGCTGAAGAAGGAGGAGATTCACTTCTTCAACGACATCGCGTACTACCACGTCCCATTCACCCACTGTCCAACCGGAGAGCAGACTCGCCTTGATCACAAGTGCCACTGTAATCCCAAGGACAACTTTGACTGGAATGGCTACTCATGTAAGAGTGACCAGATTTGTCGAATTGGTGAGAACCGAGACTAACACGTGGCTTCTAGGCACAAAACGATGGTACGAAGTGAACAAGATGCCTATGCCTGAAGGCTACGAAAAGGAACAGTGACTGGCTGGGCGATACGACATGATCGCGCTCGAGTGGCTTTGGCCTCTCATCATCCTAGGCGTCACGCTTGGCTTTATCATAGTCGTGCTGTTTGCTCGACCTGCGACAAAAGCATACCACCATTTGTCGCACCTTTGGCGAAGAAGACGAGCGAGTCGTTTCTCCGAGGTCAGGTTCGAAATACGGGAGCAAGTACGAGCAAAATGAAACTATTCTTTGGAAAACGTTTGATCCTCGCTGCATTGGGAATGGAGTTATGAAATACCCCTGGTGAAAGGGCTTTGTTGCGTGTAAGAAATACGACGGGGAGATGAAAGCGGCACGAATGGAACGCCAGGTGGGTGGTACGGAAGCACTAGTAGAGGCATCGGCGTTTTTGCATACGAGTACACGAGCCAAGCTATTTCGCGTTCGAGCAAGGGTTGAGCGATTGCTCTTCTACGGGAGGACCTCTGTACCTGATACCTGGCGGAATCGATCCAGCTCTACCAGAGTGGCCACCTTTCACGCAAGTTGATGTCTCGTCTCGGAACGGTAGTAATGCAATGCCCAGAATTGATCTCATGAGCCTTCGTATTCCGTCCTTGAAGCTGCTAGACAATACGGTCTGATGGACGCGAGACAAATACAGCTGCTAGGTTGAATAAAAGAAATTTGTCGAGAAAACAAATAGAAAGAATCGTAGAATGACAATAAGTACACTGCCTTTCACAGAAAGTGTGGTTGGATCGTCAAGCTCGAGGCAATTCGGCGCCGACATCGCACTCCCGAACCTTTTCCATCTCGAAGCTCTCATCACCTTCATCTTCCCATTGCTGACCAACCCCAAGATTTCTCTGTCCTTGTACATATTTCTGCATTTCTTCCGGCGTTGGCGTTGGGGCCTTTCAACAAATCCCTATGGATCCCTATCAACCCCCCCTCCTCGAATCCCCCTACCTCCGCTCCCTCTTCGTACGCATCCCTCTCCCTCTCTCCATATCTGCTGCAACCTGCTCCCTAACATCCCTAGGCAGGCGCCCTCGCAGGAACCACAGTCGACATCTCATTATACCCCCTCGACACGCTGAAAACCCGCCTCCAATCCTCCCCCGGGTTTTGGAAATCTGGCGGGTTTCGCGGAATTTACAATGGCGTGGGTTCAGCGGCCGTGGGCTCTGCTCCAGGCGCGGCACTTTTTTTCGTGGTGTACGAAGGGGTGAAAACGAATGTTGGGGAGGGGAATACGGTGGGAGGTCATATGTTGGCGGCGAGTTTGGGGGAAATTGCGGCTTGTGCGGTTCGAGTGCCCACGGAAGTTGTGAAGCAGAGAGCGCAGGCGAAACAGTTTCCTGGCTCGATGGAGGCGCTGAAAAACATTTTGGGGAAGAGGTATACGTGTGGATTGGCGTCGGTGGGGAGGGAGTTGTATCGCGGTTGGGGGATTACCGTTATGAGGGAGGTGCCGTTTACGATTATTCAGTTTCCGCTTTGGGAGGGGTTGAAGAGGTGGGGTTTGGAACGAGGAATGGATAGGGGGAGAGATGTGAGTGCGGCGGAAAGTGCGGTGTTTGGGGCTTTTAGTGGTGCGGTGGCTGCGGGACTCACGACTCCGTTGGATGTGCTCAAGACGAGGATGATGTTGAGCACGGGGAAGGTGGATGTGTTTTCTTTGGCGGGAAGGATATTTAGGGAAGAGGGTGGGAAGACGTTTTTCAGTGGCATTGGTCCGAGGACTATGTGGATTAGTATTGGAGGTGCGGTGTTTTTGGGAAGTTATCAGTTTGCGAGCAATATGCTTGGTGGTCGATGAAGGCGACAAAAGCTATCCCAGGAAGAGCCATGGTGCGAGTCATGCGCTGGCCTGTCGCTCTGAATTCTCGATTGTACGGCTTCTCGCAGAGGGAAGATCACGAGCATATTGCAGACGCGGAGACGGAAACGATGTCTCATTGCATGGCGTACAGAGATCTTCTGCGCCCACGCCTGACGAGAGCTACTGCTGAAGGCAGGCAGGAAACTGACTTGGGACACTCACGATGAATGACTCTTTGCTGATCCGCTTCAGCTTTGACATTGAGATGCGGTACTCATCGCCGCTGGAAATTGTTGCATGCAGCTTCGGAATGCAGAGGCGTACGCAATTACTACTCTGGCTTCAATGACCGCTCAAAGGCACAAGATCCGACACCCACCTGGATCAGTTGGCCAACTAATGCCATTTTATTGATGCTACAGGTAGGCTCTTCTCCCGCCTTCTCGTGTGAACGAGTAGCAAGCACTCAGAGGGATACAGGAACTCTCTTGACCGTAGCTTGGATAGATCATATACGAAGTTCATTCTTGGAAGCAGTTCAACACATCTTGGGCGCACCTACCAGACTTCTATGCTGGTGGTGGCCGCATTCCGTTTTGCCGCTTGCAGCTCCGTCTCCTGCTGTCTAGCTACGCTCCCGCCCTCACAGACAGGACGCTCAAAGCATGCGGACTAGCATTGTCACTTGGAGTGTATGCCCAGGTATCAGGGTCCATTACGTGCCTAATGCCTAAGGCTGCAACTGCTGCACTTCATCTTCGGACTTCTATATAGATTAGTCCTTCTTCCAATATATTAGTTATATTAAGTGGTTATGAGCCCCCTGCGTTTCTAACGCATTCTATACGTTTTCTAATAGTTAATCCGACTGCTATATAGATAGCGCTCGTTACTAAAAATTACGCTAATACTATTATCGTCGCTACTACCCTCGCCGCCCTCGAGTATTCTAGTAGGTACTAGACTCGAGTCGGCTACTGTTAGTGTTAGCTGTCCGCTATACCGGTTTCTAATATTAGTATTAGCTATCCGCTATACTAAAATATAGGCGCGCCTATCGGCTGCCCCTTAAGACAAGTCTATAGTCTCTTTCTATATTATCGCCGTCGCTGTCCGCAATAGCTCCCCCTATAACATCTAGCGCTTACATAAGCAATATTCCTAAGCTAAAGAATAAGGAGAACTACCTATTATAGTTATATACCGCTAAAGGCGCCCTTAAGGGTATATCGGTCTAGCGCTATATATAAGGCACCCGCCTACGACCTCTTACTAAGGCCTCTAGTAAGACTTCTAAAGAATTTAAGGACCGTTAAGATAAATAGGATTCTAAAGATTAAACGGCGCGTACCTAGATCTTCGCTAATTGTATTAGTAATATTTAATAATTACTACTTAGTCTGTCTATATCCTAGGAAGTATAGGACTTCCTTAAGAAGAAATATACTAGTAAAGGTAGGTCTACTAAATTTATGCTCTTCTAGGACTATATTACCCTTCGCTACGATAGTAAGGACGTCGAGAAGTTCTATAACGAACATAAGAAGAAGCTCGGTGCCTTAAAGGATACTAAATTGGCTATTAGCTAATATTAGGCTATCTATATGTTTATTATACAAATCGCACTATTCTACGAGGCATTCGTATAAATACGCCGTAAGCAGATGCGCACCTTAGAATATACTATTAATAATAGCACCCTTAATAATATTATTAGCGCGTTACTTAATAAGAATGTAGCCTAACTAAACTAGGCCCAATATAATAGCTTCTTCGGTCTTTAACGCTAACTATAATAGCAAGGTAGCAATAGTAATAGCAATAGTCGAGGTAACTCGAACCGTAGCGGTCGTAGTAGCCGCGGAAACAATAATAGTAGTCGTAGTCGTAGTAGAAACAACTAGAGTAGTTATTAGTCTAACTGTAAGAAGTACGCCTATTATTAGGGATCGTACCCTTCCGACCGCTATTATACTAAATACTCTTATCTAAAGGAGGAAGACTAACTGCGTCGTAAACAGTAGAAGGCTAAGAAGAAGGGGATATAGTAGCAACAGCAGCAGCGTAGACTAACTGCGCAGCAATAATAGCAATAGCCGCTATCTAGTTAGAATAGTACCTAGGGCCTGTATGCGGCTAATGCTACCCCGGGGGTGTTATTAGACCTAAGCAGTAACTACGCCTTTAATACGATTACTATTAGTAACGCAGCTTCTATAGCACTTACTATAGCGACTTATACTACTAATTAGGTTATCGACTTAGGTACTAGCATACATATAGTTAATAACCCTTTATTGCTTATTAAATACGAAGGCTATTACATTCCTATCCGGTTTAGTAGTAATACGAAGCACGCTACGATAGTTGGTATAGCTTAGACTAAGGTTGTTAATAAGCGTAGTATAAGCAATATAAAGTTGTCCGATATACTATATATACTAGGTCTAGTAGCTAACCTCCTATCTACTAAGAAGCTTGCCGATAAGGGCTGTTTCTATCGGAATAATAAGCGCGTGCTGTTTACTATTATTAACGGCTTGGAAGTTACTATTGCTTAGATATACCGCAAGAATAGTCTCCCCTATCTATATATACTAACCTCTAGTCCGGATAGCTAGGTTGTTACGCTTCTATCGAAGAAGGGGGTACTAATAGGTACGATAGAAGAGTAGCATCTACGATATAGCTATATCTATTACCGCAAGCTGCTACGGCTAGAAGCTAAGGGCTAGATTGTTATTACTAGTACTAAGAAGGACTTCCGCGACTGCATTGCCTATCGGATAGCGATAGCTTATAAGGAATACAATCGTCTACTACGCCTTCGACTATCTACGATTTACTATATTATCTATATAGACGTAGTTACTATTACTAATCTAGGTCTATTATAGGAGCGCTATTTTACGCTGTTTACGTACGCTAAGTTAGGCTATCGACACGAGTATGCTAGCACGCTCAAGTTAGGGGCTATAGTAGCTATTAAGGACTATTGTATATATATCCGTATATAGACTAGTTACTTAATCCTAATCTACCGCCTCGATAGAGGGGGTAAATATAGCGGAAATTAGCTATTAAATTAGGCTCGAGACGAGGGTATTATACTGCAAGTTACTATACCTTATTTATCGACTTAGAATAGCCTTACTAAGGTTAGCAATTATATCGTATATACGACTGCGAGAAAGATAATGCTATAGGCTAACCTTCTAAAGTCTCTATAGCTATATACTATTGCCTCCGCTATATAGGTCCTTAATATTATACCTAGAACCCTAGAAGGTCTTAGCCCCTATACTATTATAGCTAGGTAGCTTAATTAGTCTCGAAAGCAGCTACGCCTTTAGTACCTTCGAGCTTATAGCTGTACTGCTATTATATACGATTACAGTGTCGCTCGTAGAAAGAAGATAGATAGTAGAGGTCTTGTTAGTAAGCTAGTTAGCTATGCTAAGGGCTCTATAGACTCTAGAAAGTATATAATCTACCTACCTAATTAATATAAGGTTATCGCTTCTAAGGATGTTTAGTTTATTAAGTTAGATAGTAACCTTCTACTTCTAAATAGTATAGATCTGTATACTAATCCTAATAACCCTTCTAAGAGCGAGTTTATTAGTATTAAGTCTATTATACCGGCTCTGTTCAATTCTATAAGTAACGAGGCTCCGTTACTAGCCGACGCCGCTAGTATAGTCTAGCAGCTTCTAGCCTAATAAGAAGAGCCTCTAGACGAACCTGCTTAGCAAATGCCTAATAAGGTCGCTAGTCCGCTACCGCTCGACGATAACCTACTAGCTGTTTAACCGCCTTTAAGTAATAAAGAGGAAGAACCGGCGTACGATCCTTACGCTAAGAAGGGCGAGCCTAGCTAGTTGCCTAAGTTTAAGCGACTAGCTAAAGCTATTAGTAATCGTTCTATACGCAAGACATAGAGCAATAAGACCGCTCGTAACCTATTACGTAGCTATCTAGCTAATTGTAGTATTAAGCGGTTAACTCGACGTATAATAGCTAATATACCGATAGCCTATATAAAAGGCTCTATAGCTTCCTACTATATTGCTAAATAGTTAGATAGAGATACTATTCCTATTCCGAAGAGCTATAAGGAGGCGACTTAGTTACTATATTAGCCGCAATAGAAGGAGGCCTATAAGGCTAAATATAAGTTACTAATTAACAATTATATATAGGTTTATATAACTCGACTAGAGGTGCCTAAAGGTCGCAAGGTTGTCTATAGCCGATAGGTCTTTACTATTAAGCGAGACGCTAATAGCAATATAAGCCGTTTTAAGGCGCGCTAGGTCGTCTATAGCTTTATACAGGTCGAAGGATAGGATTATAATAAGACCTATACGGCTATTGCTAAGCCTTATACGCTTCGAGCCCTATTTAGCCTAATTGCTTATTACGACCTAGAGGCTAAGCAATACGATATTCTAATAGCCTTCCTTAATACCCTAATTAGCGATAAGTATAAGATCTACGTTAAACAGCTATACGGCTTTAAAGAGCGTAGTAGTAAGAGCATAGTTTGCCTATTACTAAAGGTACTATATAGTCTAAAGCAGTTACTAATACTTTAGTATAAAGAGCTTCGGAAGTACTTAAAGAGCCTAAACTTTATACTAATAATAACTAACGTGTGTGTATTTAAACACGTTCTTAGCGGCTTAATTATCGTTATCTACGTCGACGATATAATTATTATCGCCTATAGCCTATTAGTACTAGAGGCCGTTACTTAGTTACTAAAGGACCGTTTTAATATAATACCCCTTGTTTGCTTTGCTAATAGAATAGCTATTGTATTGTTTGTTTGTTTCATTCTATAGCGATATACACGTGCTAAGGGGGTGACTTGGAGTATATGCCTAGGTGTTAGGGTCCATCACGTGCCTGATGCCTGAGGCTGCAACTGCTGCACTTCATCTTCGGACTTCTACATAGATTAGTCCTTCTTCCAATACATCAGTTACATCAAGTTTGTCTCTCCACTAGCACATGGCCCAGACTCTTGTCGCAGCAGAGAGGTCTTCTGCGACTTCCGTTGCAACGTTTCTGTGCTTCCAGTCCAGCTCGAGGTCTTGTCTGGTCTCGAGAACATCTGCTGAACATCAAACGAAGCTGTGAGTTGGATCACAGGAAGTCTCGGCAAATTCTGGAAGGTGCGGACAGCACATGCACGAGCGTTGAGCAGCCGTAGTGAAGCAGATTCGTATGGCAGCCACACCAAACCCAGCTTCAGTGTTGTCTAGGTGAGCTTGACTAGGCTGCCAGCGCAAGGACAAAAGCGACCTTCTATCCAAACTTCAGCTTCTTCTCAACATCAAACACAATCCGGGTCACCTACTCGCAACAAGTATAGCCCCTCCACAGCACCAAGCACTGCTCAACTACCCATCAAGAACCTTCGACCCCAGAAGCAGCCAACATGTCTGCCATCAATCTCGCGCCGCGTGAGCACCAGATGTTGCTTGCCATTGGCAAGTATATCAACACCTCTGCCGTACGTCACGCCTCAATGTCATTTACCTCCGTGTTTTGTTACTGACCATGCTGCCAGGTCGACTGGGAGGCACTCGCCCGTGACCTAGAGTACAAGACCGCCAAAGCCGCCCGCGACAAGTGGTACCCGCTGCGTGACAAGCTGTTCGGCAAGCAAGCAGCCGGCGGCGGCACGAATGGTGCTTCCACTCCGGGCAGCAAGAAGAAGGCTACGCCCACCTCCCGCAAGCGCAAGAACTGTGAATCTCACTGCGCATTCTGTGGGAGCGTACGCTGACATGAAGATAGCCGACGACGACGCTACGCCGAGTAAGAAGAAGACTCCGAAGAAGGCGTCCAAGAACCAGCCCGAGTTCGACGAGGACGACGACGAGGAGAAGGGGAAGCACGCAGTCGTTAAGCCAGAGCCTGGTAGCGATGAGGATGAGGATGGCCTCGAACTCCCGACATTATAAACTCTTTCACCAGCAGGGAGGGAATAGTCATTGATTCATGACAAGTGTCCACGGGAAAGCGCATGGAGTTCAAGGGGAACATTGAGCAGGTGCCAAGTTGCACAGCAGGGTGGAGCCACTACCTGTGGTTCAGCGGACAGCCTGGAATTGCAGATCCAGCAAATAGGCCGTCCCCATAGCTAGAATGCTGGCGGAACAAGCCATCACAAAATTGACCCCGTTGTTGGTCAAGAGATCTCTCCCAATCTGTACCCTACTTCCATCCGGCAATACCTTGACGCGTTGACCTAGACACGTTCATTAGTGAGGCTGCTCCATCACTTGCACTTCGAGAACCGACATACCACCAGCACCTTCAATGACCTTTCCTGTCCCCTTGTCCGTCACAGTCACCTGTAATAAAGCTCCAAGCACAGAATCAATCACACTCCCAGCCAACCCAGCCATCACCAAAACCCCAGAAACCTTCGCATCCATCGCAACCTTCGGAGCCCCAAAGAAAAGCCCCACACCCGCCACAAACGTCAACAACCCACTCCCAACCAAACTGTACTTCAACCCATCAACCGTCACCCCTCCATTCGTCCCCCTCGCCACCTTCTTCCACGGCGCCGTGATCATAAACGGCTCCTCTTTCGACAAAATCCCAAGTTCCGATGCGAACGTATCCGCAGCCACTGCTGCATATTGTGCGATGATTCCCATCGGCAGGAATCGAAGTAGTTTTGGAAAATTCGGGCCTGGGGACACCGCGATGTGCGAGGAGATGAAGGGTTGGGTGTGTAAGAGATAGGCGTGGATCAAGATCAGAAGACTTGCCCAGCCGGAATTCGACCAGACTTGGATTGCTTTGCGAGCTCCTTCGCCTCCGGTTCCGCCGGTGGAGGATTGGGTCAGGTGGGATTTGGAGGAGTGGCCGATCTGGACGTGTTTTTTTTTCTTTTTCAGTATATGAACGCCTCCGACATGGGGTTTGAGTTTGAGGATTTTACCTTGGTCACGAATGTTCCGAATAGGAAGAATACCATCAATAGCCAGAAGAATGCGGGCCATGGGTGTAGCATGTGGATTGCGGCGGTTATGATTCCTGCGAATACGCCGCCCGGGGTGAGTTTGTTTTTTAGGACGGCGTAGGCGACGAGGCAGGCTGTTGCTGTTATTTCGGGGGCTTTTTGGCGGAGGAAGATTGTGAGGGACATTTTGGTTAGGGGTTTGGGAGGAATGTTTGGTTGTGAGTTTAGGATTAACTTACAAAGGTGTTGGAGAGATGTTGATGTCGGAAGGAGGTTCGGTTGACCGGGCCGAAGATCCTTGCGCGTGGCCGGGTGGGGGAAGGCGTTGTTTCTGCCAAGTCGATAACCGTCTCATCATGAACAGCGTCTCGTCCTCTTCTCTGTGCACGCTATGGTACTCTTTTCCTTCGAGAATAATATGTCCTGCACGCTATGATCCTCTTCTTCATCCAGCATACCGTGTCCACGCGTTTGTGAGCCGCCAAATGCTACGCGGGACATTCGCTCTGTCGATGCTATCCCGGATACTTTATGACGGACATCAACATTCAATGACCCTCCAATGGTTCACCTGCACGAAGCCCGAATGCCATGAAGCTGCCGATATTCCCGCCGCAATACTTGCATGCTCAAACAGCACCCTTCACTGTGTAATTGCGCATGCTGTTTAGCTAAGAGATCGCCCGTCCGAAGAAAATATGCAGTAGGCGATGAATTCGATACGGAGATATTCCAAAGATCAGAAAGAGCATTAGACTCCAAAATACCACATGGCTGCTTGCGGCCATCAACAAAATGTCTTCTCAGGCGGTATATGCGAAGTGAGCTGTAAACTGTGTAGGCTTTCAAGCTACGCCGAGCCCACGGCTATGTGAGTACAGCAGTGCATGTGCAACTTCCTCTCGCGAAAATGATTGCACACATTGACGACAGCGTGCACGAATTCGAACATCCCACTGATCTATTCTTGGCGCATGTTCTCACAATGCGATGTATTCGACAATTTCAATCTCCGACCTACGGCAAAGTCTTTGTTTTCGGAGCCAAATGACAACCAACCAGGAAATTGCTGATATCACGAGGCTGTAGCGTGAAAGAATGGCCTCATTGTCCATGCTTCGCGATGTCTGGAACAAAGGAAGAGATTTGCCTCCCACCTCGACGACGCCTCGCAGCAATATGTTCGGGGAGCAGTCAATCTCTCTTCTGCAAAGTTCTCCTGCATCTCCTACCATACGTTTCACGACAACCGTTTGAGCGAGAGGCAGGTCCTCGATTTTATACACCAATTTGTGTTCAATACTATACACTATACAAAAGATGGATACGCTACCAAAAACTTCAGCGAATGACGAAACTCGTCAGCACGAGAAAGCGAGCGACAAGCACATAGATGGAGAAGCTCGACCAGCGGATGACCGCAATGTACAAGAAGAGGAGATGGAGGAGTTGACGCAGCAGGACTCTGCATCAGCTGAAAGTGTTGAAATGCAAGATGATGACGGAGAAGAGTATGATGCAGGTTCCGACGATGGAGACAGCAATGCCAGCTCTGATTACGAGGAGCTCAATCCGGAAATGGGGCCATTGGTTGCAAACCGACCCCCAGGGCCTTTGTCCGAAGCCCAGCGGGCATACAATCCCTTTGTCAACGCCAACCCTGCTAGCGAAGCTGATTATCGGCGTCGTGGTTCTGCCGCTCAGCCCTTAGACAGCCAAGTCGATCCTGTGCCAGAAGAAGACAGGCCGAGAACGCCAGAGGATCAAGTAGCCATCACTGAAGTCGAGCCTGACTTTACGCCAAGGACAGCTCGACGGTTGAGGATAGAGAGGGAGCGAGGATACGATCGCAGGTTTCGTCCTAGGAGTGCAGTGAGGTTTACTAATGATGCCATAGCTACTCCTCGGTGGCCATATTTTCGTGACCAGGCAGCACAGCAGGCTGCTGCGGAGGAAGCTAGGCTCAGCAGACGGGCGAGATCCGTAGCTGCAGAATCGCACCACAATACAGAATATGAGACTTCCCAAGGTGACGAGATCGACTCCGATGCACCATCTTCAGCCTTCTCGGACGATTCTGATTCCGATGATGACGATGATACGCGTTCGGTCGAGGATGGAGACGACGAAGACGAACAAAGTGTCGACGAAGAGGACAATCAACTCGATCGTCTAGATACGATAGGGCCTTCCACCCCCGCAATCATTGAGCCCGATGTCAACAGCGACTCAGAAACTTCGACATCAGAGCAAGGCCTGGGTGATCCTACCCCCTTAGCGCAAGTTGGAGCTACTCTTGCGGTACCTGCAGAGTCCGTGGTCCCAGACCCACCTTTGAGTCCAGTGCGAACGAACTTTACCGGGTTGGAGTCAGTACCAGAAGAGCCCGATGACAGTCCTCTTGATCCTCTTGAATACTATCCGAGATTTGCGGATGATCCGTCTGAGACACTGCCTCAGCCCAGTGACAGTGCTTTGACGGATAAGAAAGGCAAGACTCCTCTGTATGCGTTGAAATATCCCACGAAAGTTCCAGCTCCGAAGCTCGGAGATAGGGTGCAGTCCTCCGGTGATGGCAAGCATCTATCTCGAGCAAGCCGCGAGGAAGATGAGGGCAAAGATCTGGAGCGTGCCCAAACACAGACCGGTGCTCACGATGTCCAGCCGGATGGCCAACGCACCGCCGACTTCATCGGTGAAGATCCACAGATCATGGCGTCTAAGGTCAACGAGCGTCGTCGCCTCGGTCTACAAGCAGAGGCGGATGCGAGAGTAAAGGCACTCGAGGAAGAGCGCCTCGCCTTCTTGTCCTCGGACAGCACATCTCCACCACAGGATCTCGATTGTCGAATGCAGATGTATATGGCGATGGCTCGCGATCACCAACACGAACGTGACGCGGCGTTAGAGCAACGTGACGCAGCATTGCAACTGGTTGAAGAATTGAAGGACAAATTTGTGGCCCAATTGCCCCCGGAGAACATCGAATATATACAGTTGCAGCTCACAATTTCGCAACAGAATCTCTCGGTTGCCAACGAGGAGATTGATAGACAGACCGAAAAAAGTCGAAAATACAAGGCCGCTTGTGAAAAGATGAAGAAGCAGGTTGAGAGCCAGCAGGAGAAATTTGTCAAATTCAACAGTTACTTCGACGAGTTACAAGACAGGGTCCAGTGTCTGGAAGATGAGGGCTCGGAGCTCAGAGACAAGAACGCTGGTCTGGAGAAGAAGGCCGCAGACGATAAGATGGTGGATGAGGCGCAGAGAAAGGCGATTGCCACGTACAGAGGGATGAACCAAGAGTTACATGACAACATTGATGAGCGTAAGCGCGAAATCGAGGAGAAATGCCAGATAATTACCGATCTAGAGGACGAGCTCCAAGAGGTATCTGCAAGCTTGAGAAAGCAAGAGAGGCAGTACAAGATCGACGTCCAGGAGCAACGAGATAAATTGGCGCAAAGCCAGTCCGACATCGAGGAGCAACAAGATAGGATCGCACAAAGCCAGTCAGATGTCCACGTCTGGATGGAGCAGCATGTTTCCGAATTCAAGACGACGTTGGAAGAAAAAGACAAGGAGATCGAAGCGCTCAAGCTCCAGCTCACCACCGCAACAGATGGCATCGCATCCGAGACCGAGGGTGATGTTCCGGCCATCGCCCTCGAAACTGCAGCGGAAAGGGCGCCGTCGGCCAAGGCTCAGCTAAAAAGTATCGACGCAGTGTTGGCCAACGAATCTCAGCACGACAAGCCTCAGCCTTTACCCGCATCGCCTTTCCCCGGTGTTCCCGAGTCATGGACTTCCAAATCTCCACCGTCGACTCCAACAATCGCCCCCTCCGATCCCCAAGCGTGGCAAGACCGTGTGCACGCATGGAGAAAGTCACCGGCATGGCAAGCGCAGCGCGAAGCTCTCCGACAAAGACGTCTCGCCGAGGCTGCGCAGGAGGGAGCGTACCTGAACCTCAAACGTGCGGCTTATGCTGTGACTTTTGATGCAAAAGTTCTGCCGGAAGGTGAAGGGGATGACGGTTTTCGGGAGAGGCGGAATCGGGTGGCGTTTTATGAGAATCTGAGGGCGAGGCCGAAGACGGGTTCTTAGAATATTCCTCGGTATAAGCGGGGTTCTGACCGGGGGGGGGGTTGATTATTGGGTCGTCGTACAATAATAATGCCGACGCCGTCCAGCCTCGCCAGCAGGCATGAGGTCGTGTGTTTAAGGTTCTTCTGGAATAGAACCCATACGCCTTGGCGCTCGTGACCTCCCGGAGGACAATAATAATCATGCAGCGCGGCAGGAAATTGCACGAATCGGTTCGGGGTGCGAAGAGAAGAGGTATCTGGGGTTTCGTTAGTCACACTTTACCCCGCGGTCGCGGGGGTTTAAGCTATACGCAAAATCGCGATTTGTTAGTAGGCTACACGTAAAACTCGATATAGTCGCACCTTCTAGTCCTATATAGATATCTAGGTATATAAAGTATCGAACCGCTAGTCTAAATATTATATTAGCGAGGTTATCCGAGTATATAGTAACCGTAGACCTCGCTACCGCTGTTTCTTATATAATCTTCCTTAGCCTCCTTAGTAGGCGCGTCTACCTTATTCTAAACGCGTATTCTTCGTATTCTCTTTCTTCTAGTATATATATAGCACCTGTTTATCGGTATAGAGCGTAAGAAGGTCGGAAAGGTTATTAAAAGGATACGCGCCGAGCGATTAATAGAGATAGAGAGGGTAGAGAGAGTAGTAGATCGAGTAGTTTCGAAGTACCGCGAATTAGAGGCTAAATCGTTAAAAGTTAGCCTTCGAGCGCTTTATAAGAGTAAGAAGGCAGCGGACCTATATTATCGTGTTTACTAGCGGTTAAGAGGTCGTAGATCGCTAATATCGCGTAATATAACAAATACTAAGCTAGATAGATCTTAGGAACTAGCGCTAGCGGATTATTATTAAGAAAGGGACGAGATAGGTATATTCTTACTAGTAGCGTTAGTCGCTATTATAGCGATAGAAATAATAGTTAGTATACTGCTAGAAGGGGTACCGAAGGATATAATCGTACTATTTAGCGTAGATTAGGCGGACCGCTTTCTTAGTCGCTATAGACTTAGCAAGGTTAAGTCTAAACCTATTAATAGACCCCGTAGTAGTCCGGGTTAGGTTAGTTTAGTTTGCTAAGCCGAAATTCTAGTTTAGTTTAGTTTAGTTTGCTAAGCAACCGGTATACGGACCGGTTTGCCGGCTACGTGCTAGCTACGGACAAAAACCTATCCTAAAACACGTCTAAATAGCCCGAAACATAGATGCAATCGTGTAGCGTATACAATATAGAGCCCCTATCGCGTCCGGGACTAAATCCGAGGTCGTCGTATATCGTCGCATATCGTCGCAGTTTAGTCGGATTTTCTCGGAAACTAGCTTAGACTAGCGGGGTAAAAAACCAAACCGGAACTAAACCGGAGGGATACCGCTAAGAAACTAAACTATATACGTTCTATAGTTCGCAAACCGAACTACTACGGGGTCTACCTATTAAGGTATAGCGTAAGGAGGCGTACGACCCTTCTACTATAAAGAGCTAGTTTAATAGGTTTAAGGCGATACTAAAGCGACTAAATATAAAGCCGCGGAATATATAGAATTTCGACGAGACCGGATTTCGAGTCGGTATTAGTAGTAACGAGTACGTCGTTATAATAGATACGAAGCGGCGCGCGTAGACCGAGTGTAATAGTAACCGGACGCATATTACTATCGTTAAGAGCGTTAATACCTATAGTAAGGTAATAGACTATTAGTTAATTATTAAAGTAGTAATAGTTTAAGAGCGTTAGGTCCCTAAAGAAGGTTAGTCTATTGCTATTACCTTAGGCAAGAACAACGTTACCTACTAATAATAATAGGCAAAGATAACTTCCTAATTACTATTAACGACTCTAGCTATATAACAGACGATACTGCTATATACTATATCCGCTAGTTTAAACGGAAGACGAGACCTAATAATCCGAATAAGTAGAGAGTACTATTATACGACAATTACGGCTCCTACTGCTTTAAAGAATTCGCTGCCTTTGTAAAGCGCTATAAGATTTAATTATAGGGCCTATAACTATATACTTCGCACTTTATATAACCCCTTAACGTTATACTATTCTAGGTATATAAGTTAAGGCATAGACAAGCGGTCTTAGAAGCTGTATATCGTAGTGTTAGTAAATTTAGTATACCTAAGTTTATATAGGCGCTCTTAGCTATCCGGGTAAAGACTTTTACGAGGTATAATATAAGGGCGGCGTTTCGTAAGACAGGCATATTCCTAGTAGATAGGGAGGTCCCTTATAAGCATATTCGAGATTAGTATAGGGCTACTAACTATAACTAGAACTAGTAAGCAATCGAGAGTAAGCTCTAATAGGAAGAAGCCTAATACGAGGAATCTCTAGTAATAGCGGAGGCCGCTTAGTAGGAGTACTTAGCGTCGGTTAAGTAAGAGCGTTTAGTAGAGCCTACTATTATCGATCCTAATAGCTAGTATCTCGCTAATAATCGCTCTTACTTATAGGACCTTAAAAACGTAATTACTTAGGGTATACTATCGTTACTACTACTACCGCGGCAGATGCCTATCCCCGAGTTGCCGGACTAGCTTCTTACTACGATAACGAGCCCTCGGAAGATTAGAGCGTCTCGTAAGGCTATACAAGCTCGTAAGAGCTTCCGACGTTATTATCTAAAACTAGCTCTAGAAGGTATCGACCTATTATTAATATTTAACCCCTTTTCCTCGTCGCCTATAAAGGACGCTAAAAGAGCCTATAAGATATTAGTTAGCGCCGCTATTTGCAAAGGCGAGGAATATAAGCGTAAATACTAGTCTACGAGTCTAGTTAAGTATACAAAGAAGCGCTAGAAGGAGCAACCTAATCGGCTTATAAGAGTAGGTACTATCGAGGCAGATAAATTACGGTTATAACTTATATAATAAGATAAGGACCTAGCTAATAACAACCGCCGGAAGATGCTCTAAGAGGCATAGAGTGTATATAATAAGGCACGCACCTATCGACTTAAGTATAGTAAGGTATTCCGAGTCGTATTTAATAATAATAGCAAGACTAAGTAGATAGACGTTAAATTATAGGCTATCGATAAGCCGCTACGATAAGTCTTCGATAAGCGACTTCTTACTTTAGATAATAACCTTATATTAAAGAAGACTAGCGATCTATATACTAAGGATATCTACTTCTATAGGCGCTCTACTTACTCTACTAAGGGCGGCGATATAGTATATATATAGAGTCCGATAAGGATACTAGAACTACCGACTTATACTTATAACTACGAAGAAGGCGATATTCTAGTATAGACCGTTAAGCTAAGGCGACGACTAAATAGCCTATTCGTATAAGAGCCTAATATACGATTAGACTAGCTATAATAAGACGAGGCGCTACTTAACGAAGATATAGTATATACTATAATTTAGCCTTATTTAGTACCTCCTCGCCGCTGCTACGAGTCTATATAAAGTAAGCGCTATTTCTACGAAGCTCCGAAGAAGTCTAACTGTTATAGAGGCGCTATTGTAATTGCTAGTAGCAAGAGCAACCCTATTAAGCTTAAAGAGGTAGATAGTAGATATAGTAGTTAGCTATTTAGCTAATAAGAAGAGATAGCAATTATATAATAGATATATAGGCCGACTTATAAGGTAATTAACTATATAGTTAATACGAGGTATACGCGGAGGCCGAGTATAGGTCTATTTTAACTATATACGTAACTATATACCGTCGCAATTTAGTCGTTAATATACTAGAAATCTACTGCTTCTTAACTGTAATCGCACTTACACTTAGCTTCCTATTATATATGCGTTATAATGTACGTTTGATCGAGTTTTGCGTGTGGCCTACTAACAAATCCCGATTTTGCGTATGGCTTAATCCCCCGAGCGCAGGCGAGGGGTGAAGTGGGCTGACGCAACCCCGGATATACTCCGTGCATGATGCTGGATGCATGCGAGGTTGCATCTGCACCACCAACGTGACAGGGCGGGAGCAGGTGGCGTGCCTGTCGGTCGCGTGGAATCCAACGCCCCTCGTGCAGACAAGCACCGTGCCACCCCGGCGCGTGCATCCACACATTCCATCCTCATGCCGCATACGGTATGGCCGACTGCATACCCGTTCTATTCGCGGGGGCGGGGCGAAGAGCGGAGAGGAGCTTCAGCTTCGATTGCCCAGGCCGGGCCAGGGTGCTGGTCCAAGGAACAGTTCCTGCGCTGGCAAGCCCGACACTGTCCTTTTCGCACCTCGCACCTCGCATCCTCCCTCGCCTCGCCTCGTCCCTCCCGGCCTCCTACCACGACGATGCTCTATGGGCATTTGCATTGGAGCTGGTCTATGCATGCTCCGACGCACCACGACCAGCGCGAGCCACGCCGGTGACCACCCCCAAGACCAGCCGACCGCGCGAACATGATCTCTGCCAGCCTGCAGCAGCATTGCTCGCCCGACTTGGGGAGTGGCAACGTGCTCACGCAGAATCAAATGTCCCCCAGCGCGCTGCATACGCGGGCGGAGAGCCCTCAGTACGCGATGCAACGACAGCAAGCTCCGCAGTCGAACGGCACAAGACCTGCACGGAAACACAGACATGGCTACAGCAATGGAAGCATGGAGGCGTCAGAGGAGGCCGACGCAGAGGCCGAGGATAACCCCAGTGCAGCGAATGGCTCGGTCAAGGGCGGGAAGACGGCCAATGGACAGCCAGTCCGCCGCAGGATTAGCAGAGCCTGCGACCAGTGCAATCAGTTGCGGACCAAATGCGATGGACAACACCCGTGTGCGCACTGTGTGGAATTCGGCCTGTCCTGCGAGTATGCCCGCGAACGGAAGAAGAGAGGCAAAGCTTCGCGCAAAGACATTGCTGCAGCACAAGCAGCTGCCGCCGCACAGGCTGACGCCAAGTACCACAGCCCCAACTCCGGCAATGGAGACGGAGACTCTGCAGATGCCGGCGCAGTCGAGCCGAAGCTGGAGGAGAAGAGCTTGAAGCGTAAGAGATCGAGTCTTGACTTCTATCCACCCTCGCTGCCACCACCGCGATCGAATAGCATGACGAGTCAGCGTGCAAATGGACATCTCGCTGTGAATCGCCCAGTTCTGGAACCATCAGGCGGCATCGTCACTGGCCACGGCATGCACGACTCGCATCACATGTCCGGGATTCATCAGCGGCCGATGCCTTTGGACCTTCACACTCCAGCTGCCAGTCTTCCTGCTCCTGGCGCCCCTGCAGCCCCTATGCACTCACGGAACATGTCCGTTGCTATGGGTGATTATGGCAGCATCGACGACTACCATCGCAGTGTGCTGCATCCCGGGGCGGGCGCGAACATACTGCATTCAGGACCCACGCCCATGCCGCAGTCGATGATACAGGGAGGCACCGTCACCGGGTACGGCGACAGTCCGTATGGGGACCCTTCGCCCAACAGTCAGAACGGCTTGGGCCCTCACGGCTATCCTGGCATGAACGGATCGCCGTTGTCTGCAAGCTTCTTCCGCCAGTCGCCAGTCGCTGGGTCTCCTGGCTGGCTGTCATTACCGTCGCCATCAGCAGCGTTGTATCCGCACTTGCAGAATGCACCTTCGAACCAGACGCTGCGTTATCCTGTCTTGCGGCCTCTGCTATCCCACATCTCTCCCATTATCCCGGCTGGCCTGGCTTGCGATCTACTCGAGCTCTACTTCAGCAGCACCTCACAGGCTTTCATGCAGCCACAATCGCCTTACGTACTTGGTTACATCTTCCGCAAAAGATCGTTCTTGCGTCAGAACAACCCGCGAACATGCAGTCCTGCTCTGCTCGCAAGTATGCTTTGGATTGCTGCACAGACCAGTGAGTCGGCATTTCTGACTTCTGCGCCATCGGCACGAGGGAAGATCTGTCAGAAACTGCTGGAGCTCACTGTGGGCCTGCTCAAGCCACTCATACACAATCCACTCGACGGACGACAGCTATACGGTGGCAACACAGTCATCAATGGCGTTGCACTTGGTGGCTTCGGTGTGGCAATGCACGCACACGATATGGAAAGTGGAAACCCGGGTGCGAGCGGTGCGCTTGACGACGTGGCAACATATATCCATCTGGCAACCGTGGTATCCGCCAGCGAGTATAAAGCCGCCAGCCTGAGGTGGTGGAATGCTGCTTGGTCGTTGGCAAGGGAGCTGAAGCTAGGAAGAGAACTTCCGCCCAATCCGGAGCCGTCCGCGCCGGATGGTCCAGAAGCAGAAGCTGAGGCGACAGGCGAATCCAATGGCAACCACTCGAATGGGACAGGCCACGGTTCGCAAGCTGGACTGATCTCAGAGGAGGAACGAGAGGAGCGCAGAAGGATCTGGTGGCTGCTGTACATCGTGGATAGGCATCTGGCACTGTGCTATAATCGCCCACTTTTCCTGTTGGATGCAGAATGCGAGGGTCTACTGCAGCCCGCGAATGAGGCTGTATGGCAAGCCGGCGAGTCCTACCCGGGCGAGAACCACGGAGAGTCGACATTCTTCAGGCGACGTGGGCCTGGTTTCGAATGTACAGGACACAGCTTGTTTGGATACTTTCTGCCACTCATGACGATGCTCGGCGAAATTGTGGACCTCAACCAAGCAAGAAACCATCCAAGGTTCGGCTTGCGGTTCAAGAGCAGCTCCGACTGGGATGATCAAGCTGCAGAAATCTCCAAACAGCTCGAAGCGTATGGTCGGAGTCTGGAAGAATTCGAGGCACGCAATATGCAGAAGCCAGAGTCGAAGCAAGCATCCGAGAACGCTGGCAATGGAGATGGAACAGGAATCGACGGTACGAGCCCACAATCGGTCGGCACGACGAATTCTGGACAGCAACGCATCACCGAGACCGTTCTGCAGACAAGAATTGTCGTCGCCTACGGTACGCATCTCATGCATACCTTGCACATTCTTCTCAACGGCAAATGGGATCCAATATCCCTGCTAGATGACAATGACCTGTGGATCTCATCGCAGTCATTCATCTCAGCAACGGGCCATGCTGTCTCCGCTGCGGAGGCAATCAACGACATCCTCGACTACGACCCCGACATATCATTCATGCCCTTCTTCTTTGGAATTTATCTTCTTCAAGGAAGTTTCCTCCTCCTGCTCATCGCCGACAAGCTTGGAGCAGAAGCCAGCCCCAGTGTCGTGAAAGCTTGCGAGAGCATCGTGAGGGCACATGAAGCTTGTGTCGTAACTCTCAACACAGAATACCAGGCAAGTCACCCTCTATTCAATCTGAAACCTCTGTGCTGACATCCCTCACAGCGGAATTTCCGCAAAGTCATGAGATCTGCTCTTATGCAGGTTCGTGGCCGTGCTGTAGAGGATTTTGGCGAGCAGCAGCTTCGTAGGCGAGAGGTCTTGTCTTTGTACAGATGGACTGGCGACGGCACTGGTCTTGCTCTATAGGGATAAGGAAAAAGGAAGAAAAGCTCACGAATGGAATGGAATGGAATTGTGTACAGATAATACGACTGGGATAAGTTAGGTCGAATGATGTGGAACAATAAGCTAGCGAATTGTATATACCTTATATAGTACGATAGTAATATACCCCTTCGAATATTTTATATATAGCGAGGAAGTTTTTACTAGAATTTAAAGCCGCGGAGTTTAATATTTATAACGATATAGACAGTACCTAAAGCACTACTTAAGAGAGATAGCTCTTCTTATAAGCTATTAGATTTATATAATAATACTACTAAGAGGTTCGGATATATAAGTAATATAACTATATATATTTAATAATACTAGTTAGATCGCGATATTATAACGAATAAGATAGCTAAGAGCCGATACTACGTAATTATATTCGCCCTTATACGTTTTATAAGTAGTATAACTCTATATATATCCTTTCTAAAAGTCTTACTTTAGTAACAAGGTTCTTTTTATAGTAGTATATTAAATAATACGTTATAGGGGGAAGAGTCTTAGTAGTATAGCGTAGGTTAAAGGAGTATTCTACTAGTTAGGTTTATAGGTTATTATATTTATTAGATAGGTTAGTTACGATAGTTTAGGTACTACGTTTAGATTAGCGATATAGATTTTTTAGATTAGGTTAGGTTAGGTATTCGATATTCTCTCTTTTTTCTTTTATAGCGTATTTACTTAGAGATTAGTAGAACTTAATAGACGCTAGCGATCGATATCGACTCGCTAGTAATATTTATTAATAAGGGATCTTTTTAGTAAATATCTATCTTAGGGAAGTTATTATATATACTATATTTAAAGGTTTTAAATTTATATACTATTTATATACTATATAAACCGGATTTATATTAGCTAATATATATATATATATATATATATATATATTTAGCTTAAATTAAATTTTAAATACTCTTTATTCGTCTCGTCGAACGAGTTACTATTTCTACAACTTAGGACGAAATCCCGCTTATTTTCGATCGGAATATAGTTAGTCTATCGAACGAACTAAATCGCGTATACTAAGCGTATCGATATCGCTAGAGTTAAAAGCGGTCTTAATCCTTTTAGACTATTTCTAGGATATAAAGGAACTATCGAACTTAGATTTATACTAAGTCGAGCTAGCGCTATTCTTATAGGGAGCTATAGATATATAGCAGAAGATAGAATAAGAAGATACTATATTAATTAAAGAGTAAGCGTTAGTAGTAGGCGTCTAGCGGTCTCTCTTTCTCCTTACTTTACTAAAGAGATAAAGAATATATATTAGTTATTCCCTAGTATAGCTAAGCTAGCTTTAAGGCCTATATTTTAGAAAGTAGTTATAGAAAGATAGGGTACTAGTCTATATTATATATAAAGACGATCTCTAAGCCGGCTAGAGCTAAAGATTAAATAGCTTTAGTTACTAGCTATAGTAGTGTAAAAGCTCGCTTATCCGCTCTAGCGAGTAGCTTTTACTTCCTTATAGTTAGGACCTAGATAGTACTACCGCTTTATCTATTCCTTACGTCCTTACTATTTACTTTTAATTTAGGGTTACTATTTGTTTATATATCTTCTACGTTATTGTTTATAGGCTAATAGATAGTAGAGGGAGGTATATTAACTCTTCTTAGAGCGTCTTATTCCTAGTAGCGATATACTTAGATTAGGGAATATTACGATTATTATCGACGTCCTTTTAGGTTTATTAATCCTCGGTAGATACTTCTTAGAAATACAGGCCCTCTTAGTCTTCTTACTAGTAGTAGCTAGGATAGCGTAGCCGAAGAGACTAGTTAATAAGTAAGCAATTCTTTTAAAGAGCGTTTAAATCGGTTTAACTAGTCTTTTTAGGTATAAATCTATAGGGCGGATATACTTAAAACTATTATCGAAAGGGCTACTAGCTTTAAGTACTTCTATTATATAGAGTCCTTTATAAAAAGATATTAGCGAGAGTAAGTAACCCTCTTTCTACGAATAGGATACCTTAACTAAAATTAAGTTATCGTTACGTCCGAATCTAGTATATAAGACGTTATATATACGACTTAGGTAGCTATAGAGAAGTCTTTAGGTATTGTAAAGACCTCGTAAGGTATTAGGATACTATATATCGAAACTTATTATACTTCTGCCTAATTAGTAGCTATAAACGATTAATAGCTAAATATAAAGGCTTCTCTAGAGAGGATAATTTTATACGCTATCTCTAGACGTAATAGAGACGAGATACTAATAGCTAGCTCTCCTAGTATCGATTATTATAAATTAATAGCTCTATAATAAGTATATTATACGCTCTATTCTCCTAAATTTCCTAGTATATCTATTAGTAAGCAAATCTAAATTCTTTTATAGGGTTTAGATAATATATCTTTATTCTAGTCGATAAAGGCTAATATAGAGTCTACGTAGGTATAGAGTACTAAAAAGCGATCTCTTCGTCTTTATTATACGTACTCGACGATAGCTAACTTACCTACGTTCTTTTATATTTAGGAGCTCTAGTAACCGTCTACCTAACGAATAGTATATTCTTCTATATATAGAGAGCCAAGACTCTAGTCTTCTAAGAGTTCTATATAGTCCTAATAGCCTATTAATTGTTATAAAAATCTAAATTCTAATAGTTAGTCTTCTAATAACTTACCTCTAAAGTAGAGATTATCTCTAAGATATATCTTTATTTCCTTATTGCTATATCCAGTTCCTCTAATAGGATTATAAACGATAGTATCGTTTCTGTATACTAACGTAATTATAGGAGGTAGTAATAAGGTACCCTAGGCTAAGAAGTTAGGTTTTTCTCTATATCTACTCTTTAGTTAGGAATATATTAATAAATTATTTTAAATTTCTACGCCTTAGACGCCTATAGCTATTGTAGCTCTATAACGCTTAATATCGGACTATTTATAGATATCTTAGGTTACGTAGTAGTATTTGTTATTTAGGTCGTTAGGTAAGAATTATAGTTAATTGTTAATTTTAATAGGGCTATATTCGTTAAAGGAAGATTTTAGTAGATATATCGTTAATAGGATTTGCTAGGAGATAGCACTAATTATATACGAGGCTGTAAGTTAGCTTCCGTCGCCGAGTATAAGCGTCTAAACTAGCTTTCTATCGTCGCCTTCTATAGTAGATATTAAGGTTACCCGACCTTTGCCTAGGATAACTTCTACTCCTACTTTCGTTAAGTAGTCTAGCGAACTTTGCTTAACTTTATCTAGAAGTAGTTTAGGAGAAAGCAGTTAGTCTCGCGAGTGTACTAGAGTAATACTATTAATCGATAGTTCGACTACCTTTATCTTAGCTACTATCTTAACGCCTACCGCTCTACCTCTAATAATTATAATAATACCTTTCGTAGTATTCCTAATCGACTAAGTATACTCTACCGTCTCCCTAAGATATCGCTTCCGGGTTAATTCTTAAGGTATAACCGGCTATACTCGTTAGATACTAGTAGCTGTAACGAAGTAATTATACTTATATTTAGAGATAATATCGTTATTCTTATCCTCGATTCGCGCTACCCGCTACTTCGTATTAATAAGCTCTAGACTTACTTAGCTACTTCGTACTAATAGGTACTATAGAGCGGGAATCTCTACGAATCTCTACTAAATTTTCTCTATATATTTAGGTAATACAAATGCTAGAGGACTTCCGATTAGGTAGACTATTTATATAATATTAGTTAGTTAGGGTCCTTCCGGCTTTATATCGATCGATCGATCGCTATTATAGAATCTATCGCGTTTATTAACAAGATAAATATCTACGTTAACTCCTTTTAATGCTTCTAAAGATAGCTATTTCTTCTTAGAACTACTCCTAGGTAGTCGTCCTAAATATAGATCGAGAAAGTTCGTTATAAAAGAAATTCTAGCGTAAGCGCCTCTAGCTACGAGGATTCGGATTGTTATTAAGTCTTTCTAAGCGCCTATTGTTAACGATCTAGCTATATTAAATAGTATATAAGAGAGATCTAAGAATCTAATAAGAGAGTTAGGTAGATAGCCCCGAAATCGCGGGCTAAGTAATGTTATATATCCTACGAGTAAGAAGTAGAACGATTTCTTTTATGTTTACGTAAAGTGCTATAGAGAGAATAGACTCGGGTTGTTGCTAGGCGTCTACCGAAGTCGGTCGGCTTGAACAAAGTAGACTCTTAGTTTAAGGCCTACCTACCTTAATATTAGACTAGTGGACGAAGAATTAGTTTGCGATTACGTACACTAAATTAGACTTTGCGGCTTCTCGGGTTAGATTTATACTTTTAGAACAGCTAATAGGAGCAATAGAGACTAATTCTTCGCCTACGGGTCTAAGACTAATTGTCGCAAATTCGGTATGCAGCCCTCTACTAGAAGATAAAGTCAACGTACAATACGAAATACGATAATCTAAGACGTAGAGATTGTAGCGCACGCAATTCTGAATACAGTAATCTAAAAATCATATATATCCGACGTAGCGCTATCGAGAAACATATCGAATCCGAAGGCGGGTCGAACAGCGACTAGCTGCTGCGGTAACTACCTAAAATCGCATTTTTTAACTAATCTACCTTTCTATATACTGCCGTAGAGCTCGACCTTGCGATTCATTTAGTGCGGGTCTTACCTTTTCTAGACGTAGTATAGTTAAGGAACAACTGTTATATAGAAATATACTGCCTTAGGCTGGATTTAGATACTAAGCCTTTACTAAATCGACTTTATCTATACTAGTAGTCGATCGTAACACCTTCTATATAGTAGAAGACTCGTTGTTAATAACCTAGCCGTAGAAGATAGGTATAGTTATACTAAGTTAATACGACGGAGCGAGTTAACCGAGATCTCCTAGTGCTATATTAGCATATTATATATCTATCTTCTTCGGTATATATACTAGTTATTAAGGCGACGGCCTTAGATAGTAGAGAGTCCTTGTTGTTAGTCTTAACGAGCGTAATGTCCCCGTTATCCCCGAAGATTAGCTCTTAAAGCATATCGATCTGTTACTTGCTTAGTTACTTGTTAGTACGCTCGTTGAATTCAACAAAGTCCTTTAAGATGCGCTAAAGGACATTGTTAACAACGGTACGCTTAGTGTCTATAGTAGTAGGACGCTCTACCTTAATGTCGGCGATAAGCTGTAGCAGCTCCTAGTACTCGAGGCGTAGCACTATATACTTATTGCGAGACTCGCGCGTTAGGCGCTGCAAACCGTCGTAGTAGATATCTATATCGATAGGGTACTTCTTTAGTAGGTTAATGCGACTAATGCGGATAGAGATATCGGATCCGAGCATATTCTATACCTCGAGGTTCTCGTTAGAGGCTGCTATAGTGCTTTCGGTGTTGTTCGTATTGTATTGTCGGCGCCTTAAATTAAGCGCTAGAATAGAAAGAGTATATATATGCGTGTGTTTATATGTGCGACTAAGAAATAACAAGCTTCTAGCGGCTTCTAATCCTCTACTATATGTTTCCGTGTCTCGGCCTATGCGTATGTATATGCGCGACGCGATCCCCTACAAACACGGCCCTTCTTCTGCCTTTAACCTCTATAGCGTCCGATTTAGCGTCCGATTTAGCGTCCGAGTCTCGGGCCTTATATAGAAACTCTAGCTTATCTTCCTCGTATAGCACCTAGTACAGGGCCTCGAGTCGCTGCTATTAAGTATATAGACGGCGGCTAATAGAGGCAATAGATTCGCGGCGATATATCTTTAAGCGGCGATAGATATTCGCATATATTAGGCCGCGCTCCTAGCGTATATACTATACCTCGCGACGAGCGGACTCGCACTAGACGTAGACATAGAAGCGGTCGGCATTATTAATCTTATCTAGTATATAGTCGGCGTCGTTAGCTAGATCGACGCGTAATATAGGAGCGCTATCGCCGCGCTAAATCTAGCGCTACTATCGCTAGTTATCCGCTATATCGAGTTCTCGGGGTCGCGGAAGGTGTTTTGTAAAGCTATGCGAGTAGTATAGGTGTATAGGCGTTAGTAGGTAGGTTGGTTTAATACCCTAGATAGCTTCTAGCTTTAGTAGCCCTTCTTAGCTAGAATTAATGCAGAACCGTACGGACTAGGAAAGCAGACACGTAGAGGTTGTAGAGCGTATCGCAAAGGTAAAGCGCGTGTTCTTTATTAGGTAGTTCTATATACTTTATTTGCTCGAACAAACGAGAAGAGAGTAGTTAAACGAGGTAAAGGGAAACTCGAGTTAAAGTTTACCGAGAATTAAATCCGTATCTTTTATACTACCTGTGTCTAATACATATGTTTAAATTTTTTATGTTCAGATCTAGAGCTAGATTATACATTGTCAAGCGATCCGACATAAGCCTACATTGTTGTAATCGATATAATAGACTTAGACATACTACCTCTGTAGGGAAAGCCTATACCCTAGCGACATTATCTCTCAGGCGCTCCGCTAAAGCTTCGCCCTTGTCTAT